ACCCTACCTTTGCATTGAGGCTTTTGCATATGAATGGCCTGGTCCTTTGAAATCCAAACTTACCTAACAAACTGCATCTGAGTCAGTGAGACCCAGAACATCCAAAAGAAGGCCCAGGGTCCCACAGCAGCTTGCATTGTTTCACAGATGGGCCTCATCTGGGCACCTCCAAAACCCAAACAAAAAGAAGGAATCTGCAGATCTCTCCTTAGCTCCTACTGAGTGGCCTCAGGCAGAGGCTAAATTAGCACCTCCTTGGAGATCCAAGAGCCAGTGTACCCATGGGTCAGGATAGGACAATCCAGATTACAACTCCTCAGATCCATAAGGGACACACTCAGGGGGCAGACTCAAAGCCCCACTGAAGCAAGTCTTGCCTCATAAGGGTGTCTTTAGCACAGAAGTTCTCCTAGTATAGACACAGCTGATCCTCATAGCCAATTGGCCTGGAGATCCATTCCTCCCAAAACAATCAAGGCTTAAAGGCTTAACTACAACAAGACTGTGCACAGAGCCCACAAAAGGGTGCACCAAGAGTGTCCACCTCAGGTAACTGGGAAGGCTGAGCCACTTGGCCCTATAGGACACCTAGCACACAAAGCCACTCTATCAACTCAGAGAACCAGCCAAACTGAGGAGACAAAGAAACAGGTCACAAATGAGAGAAATGGAGGAAAGTAAACTACTGGATATAGAGTTCAAAACCATGGTTACAATGTTTTTCAAAAATTTTCTAGGAAAGGCTGATAAATTTAGTGAGACTCTCAGGGATATGAAAAAGGACCAACTAGAAATTAAGCATACATTGACTGAAATAAAAAATCATATACAGAGGTCCAACAGCAGATTAGAGGATCACAAGAATCAAGTCAAAGATTTGAAATACAAAGAAGCAAAAAACACCCAACAGGAAAAGGTAAAAGAAAAACAAACCCAAAAATATGAAGATAGTGTAAGAAGCCTCTGGGACAACTTCAAGTGTACCAACATCCAAATTCTGGGGGTGCCAGAAGAAGAGAGAGCAAGATACTAAAAACCTACTTGAAGAAATAATGACAGAAAACTTCCCCCACTTAGTGAAAGAAATAGACTTACAAGTTCTGGAAGCACAGAGAACCCCAAATAAAAGGAATCCAAAAAGGACTATACCAAGACACATCATAATTAAAATACCAAGAGCAAAAGACAAAGAGAGAATATTAAAAGCAGCATGAGAAAAACAGTTAGTTACCTACAAGAGAGCACCCATATGATTGTCAACTGATTTCTCAGAAGAAACTATGCAGGCAGATGGGAGTGGCAAGAAATAGTCAAAGTGATGAATAGCAAGAACCTACAACCAAGATTACTCTACCCAGCAAAGCTATCATTCAGAATTGAAGGTCAGATAAAGAGCTTCACAGATAAGAAAAAGCTAAAGAAGTTCATCACCACCAAACCAGTATTATATGAAATGCTGAAAGGTATTCTTTAAGAAGAGTAAGAACAAGAAAAAGGTAAAGATAAAATTTACGAACAACAAATACATATCTATCAAGTGAATCTAAAAATAAGGTGAATAAAAAATTTGGTGAACAGAATAAAATGGTGACTATAATAGAATCAGGGGCATAGAAAAGGAATTGACTGACAATTCTCGAGGAGAAAGGAGTGTGGGGGGTGCAGGAAGAGACTGGACAAAAATCATACACCAATGGATGAGGACAGTGGGGGGCGGTAAGGGCAGAGGGTGAGGTGGGAACCTGGTGGAGGGAAGCTATGGGTGAGAAAAGGAGGAACAATTGTAATAATCTGAACAATAAAGATTTATTAAATTATAAAAAAAATCATTTAATACTAGTAAAAGTTAACTATCATGCGATGAGAGCCATTACTAGTTAAATTTGGCCTTCCTTGATGAAGCAATGGTCAAGCTAAGAACAGAAGGAAGAAGTAACATTAATCAGGTCTAAGAGTTAGAGGACAGCATGTGCAAAGGCCCTGTGGTGGGAAGGGACTGACCTCACTTCCTTCATGTGTTTACTCAAAAGTCCCTTCGCAAAGAGCTCTTCCTTGGCCACTCTATACTGAGTGGCAAGATTATTATAATCTCTGAAAGCATAATAACCTGGCCATTATCTTATGCAATAAAAGGCTAATATGCAAATTGTCCCCTTGACCAGGAGTTCAACCATCAGGCAGGCCGACCTACTGCTCATGTCCTCTCCCTCTGGCCAGGCTGGACAGACCCCACACATGCACGAATTCATGCACTGGGCCTCTAATATTTATATATGCGTTCAGAATTCATAATAATGAGGACACTCAGTGTATATCTAAAATTTGTTCCCTTGTACTTTATATTATGCTTCTCTGCTTTGTTTTTTCTCCTCGGCATTTATCACTATTTAACAGAGTGTTTAACTTATGTGGTCATTAAATAATATTGTCTGTTCCTACACCAGATTGTAAGCCCCAGGAGAAAGGGCAGGGATTGGCTTTGGCTGTGTTGTATTATTAGGATCTGACTCAGTGCCAGGCACATAGTATTCTCTGCTGCTGATGAATGAAAGGCACCTAGTCCTCACATGACGTTCCCAGTCCAGAGCTCCTAGTCCCGTACAGAAGAGAGCAAAGGGGAATGTGGTGGAGGATGAGATGTGTGAAGTAGGCCAGAGGGTCATTTGAAGGCATGATGACCTTATTTCAAAGGCAAGAAGGAGCCCCTGCCAGGCTTGATCTGAGGTTGGAGGGATGAGGGTGACATGAGCAGATTTGGGTATTGGAAGGGTCATTCACTCCCTAGCTCCAAACACACCCGTATCTCTAAGCTCAACCTGAACTTACCAGAACCTTCTCTCCATCTCAGAATCACAGCTTCCCTTGGCCCAACATGGGCTGGGCACCGTGTGACCTTCCCTCGGTGGTTTCAGAAGGGTGCCGCCAGGGAGGAAACCTGGGTTGGTGCTTCCTGGTTGGCAGGAGCTGCCCTGGGAGGCAGAAGGGGAGAGGGCAGGCCCCGAAAGGGGGATGGGAATGTGACTCTTCTCACTCTCCCTGGGTCTCAATTGCTGGCTGTTGAGAGTATAACTCAGGGCCTCTCATACAATTAGTCCCAACACCTTCCTAAATCTAGGCCTATCCCAGGGCCTGGCCCCACCTCAGGCCTCGTGGCTCCCCTTTCCACTCCACATTTATTTTCTACAGAGCACCTAATGGCTAAACCTACAGCAAAGAAACTGATTACTGTTTCTTTTCTATTAAATATTTTTTGTTGGTATTTATTATAGAAAGAGAGGAAGGGAGAGGGAGAGAGAGATAGAAACATCAATGATGAGAAAGAATCGTGCGTCAGCTGCTGGGGATCAAGCCCACAACCCGGAGAAAATGCCCTTGATCGGAATTGAACCTGGGACTCTTCAGCCCACAGGCCAACAGGCCAAAGCTCTATCCACTGAGCCAAACAGGCCAGGGCTGTTTACAATTTCTTGTCCTTCTCTCCAGCTTCAGGAAGCTCTGTGTGTGCTTTACTTCTTTGTACCTGCAGTGCCTAGACAAGCCCCCAGAACACTATGTGTGCTCTTTAAACATCTCTTGAATGAATGAAGGCAGGAAGGAATGAATGACCGGGTTCCTGACAAACCCAGTTCCACTGGAACCCAACCCCTGATTCCAACCCTCTTTCTAACTTCATTCTTTTTGTTTCTATTTTGGGGAGAGGTGGGAGGTGGAGTGAGTACTTTGTAAAACCGAGGGATAACACAGATATAATAAAGTGCTTATCGTGTCATATATGTCACCCAGATCAAGATACAGAACATTTCTTGCTCTCTACGTGACTCTCATTGGCCTGACTTTTACAAGAATCATTTGGTTTTGCCTGTTCTTGAACTTCATATGATGGGATGATAGAGCATGCACTCCTTTATGTTTGGCTTTTTTCATGCAACATCATTTTATGAGATTAATTCATGTCATAGTTCATTCTTACTTTTTAAAAAAAATATATTTTATTGATTTTTCACAGAGGGGAAGAGAGAGGGATAGAGAGTTAGAAACATCGATGAGGGAGAATCATTGACCAGCTGCCTCTTGCACACCCCTATCGGGGATGTGCCCGCAACCAAGGTACATGTCCTTGACCGGAATTGAACCCAGTACCTTTCAGCCCTGAGCCAAACCAGTTTCGGCAAATTACATGTTTTCCTTTAGCTTAGTTTTTGTGTCCCAAATGTACTCCAACTGTCTTCTCTTCTTATAGTCAACCCCAATCCCTCCTCTGCGGATCCTGGCTCAGCGGGCAGCAACAAATCCCCTCCTCTCCCATCCCTGACCGGCTCTGCTCTCTAGGGTCCCTGAGCTCCAGCCTCATCACCCAGCACCCTTCCTCTGTGGGCCTGGCAGGATGGACCAGCCTTCCTGCTGAGGCCACTGCTTGTCCCACTTGCCAGAGAGGAATGGCCAGGCAGCAGGCCAGCTGCACCCTTTCCCCAACCCCCACCCACTGGGGCCCCAGACCCGACGCAGGTAACTGCCCAGTGGCTCTCTCAGCGGGGGTGCCCAGCTCTGCGGCCCATGGGGGCGGGCTGGAGGAAGGAGCTTATTAGGACGATAAAGATCTGGGGGCCCGCCCAGACCCCTCCCCCAACTTCCCTGAGGCCCCGGCTCAGGCTGGACTGGCTTCCCCACCCAGGAGCCTCTTCATCTGCCGCATCTTCCCTCCGCCCTCTCAGAGGCCGGCCCAGCGCCTGCCTCCTGGCCCTGCCTCCCGGCCCTCCTGCCTGCTCCCAGCCCAGACACCTGCTCACCAGCCAGGAGCACGGCCTCTCCCAGCCTCCTGGCTCGTCCTGCCCGCCGGGGCAGTAGCTTCTCTGGGATCTGGGCTGCTGGGGGCCGGGCCTCCTCGCCTCACCTTGCCGCCTCGGGAGGCTGGCCTTTCCACTCCTCTCGGTCCGGCTTCCCGGCCTGGCGCGGGCCCGTGCTCAGGATTAAGCTCCCCTCCTGCCTCCTGAAGAGCAGCCATGGCCACCTACAAAGTCAAGGTGGCCACTGGCGACGACTTCTTGTCGGGAACGTTGGACTGCATCTCACTGACCATCGTGGGGACCCGAGGAGAGAGCCACAAGCAGCGGCTGAACCATTTTGGGAGAGACTTTGCGACTGGGGCGGTAAGTGTGTGTGTGTGTGTGTGTGTGTGTGTGTGTGTGTGCGTGTGGTGTACGTATACGAGTGTGTATATGTGTGTGTGAATGTACATGTGAATGTGTGTATGATGCATATGTGAGTGTGGTGTGTGTGAATGTGTGTATGATGTATATATGAGTGTTGTGTGTGTATGTGTGAATGTGTGTATGATGTATATGTGAGTGTTGTGTGTGTATGTGTGAATGTGTGTATGATGCATATGTGAGTGTGGTTTGTGTACACCTGAATGTGATGTATGTATATGTGATTGTGTGTGGTGTGTGTATATATGTCAGTGTGTGTGATGTGTAGGTATTTGTGTGTGGCGTATGTATATGTGTGAGTCTGTGTTTGGTATATGTGTGTACATGTGTGATGTGTATGTATGTGTGTTTGGTGTGTGTGTTTAAGTGAATGTGTGTTTGGTATGTGTGTGTATATGCGTGTGTGTGTATTTGTGTTGTGGTATATGTATGTATGTGTGTATGTGTAAGTGTGTGTGGTACACGTGTGAGTCTGTGTTTGGTATATGTGTATGTGTGTGTGGGTATTTGTGTTGTGGTATATGTATGTGTGTATGTGTAAGTGTGTGTGGTACACGTGTGAGTCTGTGTTTGGTATATGTGTATGTGTGTGCGTGTGTTGTACATGCGTGAGCACATGTGTAGTGTGTGTGTGTGTGTCTAGGTGGTGTTGGCTGGGGAGCATAAGGAGGGAAGCAGGGGTGCGGAGGAGGGGACAGCTGGGCTGGCAGAGGTTGGGGAGTGTGGGGCAGGCCTGAAGCGGTGGGGCTTTGTGGCTCTGGATGCCCCTCACACAGACCCGACCCCAGCCTCCTGGCCTTTGGGCCGTCCTTCCTCCCGGTCTTCACCTCTCCTCCCTTTTTGCTCATTCCTCATCTCTTTCCCTCCCCCTCTCTCACCTCTTCCCTCTCTCTCCTTCTCTCCCGTCACTCCCCCCACATCCCTCATCTCTCAACCCTCTCCTACTCCCCTTATCTCCCCTTCTCTCCTCCCTTCCCACCCCTCCCCTCATCCTTTCCCACGTCCCCTCTCCCCCTCTCCCTCGCTCCTCCTCCTCCTAGTCTCACCCGCTCTCCCCAAGTCACGGTGCATCACAGCCAGCTAATGCGCATGGAGTCCCTGCGGCTGAGTGACAGCAGACCAGCCTCTCTGGCGGCCGCCTCCTCCATGGCGGAAGGCGCCGTGTGCTGGGCCTCAGCCCTCAGCCCTGGTTCTGGGTCTGGTTCAGCAACCTGCTGCTATGTGACCTGAATAGGTCACTGTCTGTGTGGCCGCTTTTGAATTTCCGCATCTTCATTGACAAGTGGGAGAAGAGGGGGCTGGCTGTAGGAGTCTTGGAGGCCCTGATGGGGAGTGGCTCCTGCAGCCTCAGATGGGGAGGTGGGTGCGAGGATGGGACCTCGGGAACTGCGAGTGGAGAGAGGGAGGGTGAGTGAGCCTGGCAGGGAACAGTCAGGTTGGAGGGGCGGGAAGAGAGCCCCGAGATCGGGTCACCCCGGTCAGGAAGGGGAGCGCACGCTCAGGCGGGGGGGAGGGGGGGGAGGCAGCCCGCGGGGAGCCTGAGCCGGCCTGTGCCCTGCAGGTGGATGAGTACACGGTGCGGTGCCAGCAGGACCTGGGCGAGCTCATCATCATCCGCCTGCACAAGGAGCGGTGCTCCTTCTTCCCCAAGGACCCCTGGTACTGCAACTACGTGCAGATCTGCGCGCCCAACGGCCGCGTCTACCACTTCCCCGCCTACCAGTGGATGGACGGCTACGAGACGCTGGCTCTGCGGGAGGCCACAGGCAAGCTCTCCCCGGCCCAGCCCAGGCCCTGGGGCCCCTTGCTCTAGCGAGGCCGCTCCAGCATGGCCCCCGTACACACGAGCCTGGCACTCCTGGGAGCTCCCGCCACGCTTACGTATGCCTCTTAGTCATCGCTGCGTGCGGACCCGCTCGGGCTACACCCTGAGGAGCAGCGGTGAATAGGCATGGGGCTGCCCCCAGGATCTGGGCTCACAGGTTCCCGCTGAAGACAAGCCTGCTCCCTGCTCCCTCTCCCGGCCTCCCCTCCTCGCCCATGGCTGCCCGGCCTCTCTAAAAAGACTGCTTGCTACTCTGGGTTCAGGCCTCAGGATCCTGGTCGGATGCCTTATTTATAGGCATCAATAGCATGTCCTGCGAATCCGAAAAGACTCCCTGTGACCCAGCGGGTTCTGTTGCTATCACAGGGAGCCTTATTGCTCTTGTCAGAAGCTCGGGTATTCCGTCTGCTGCCTCGTTTCATTGCGGAGGCTGTCAGTCCAGGTTCTCCCGATGCCATACCAGGAGGCCTTGTGTCTTATCACCAATGCCCTGGGATTCCTAACGAGCATTTTTTTAAAAAAATATATATTTTATTGTTTTGTTTTTTTTTTTTACAGAGAGGAAGAAAGAGGGATAGAGAGAGAATCATTGATTGGCTGCTTCTTGCACACCCCCTACTGGGGATGTGCCCGCAACCAAGGTACATGCCCTTGACCGGAATCAAACCTGGGACCTTTCAGTCCGCAGACCGACGCTCTATCCACTGAGCCAAACCGGTTTCGGCCTAACGAGCATCTTTTTAGACCGACGGGATGGTCTGTTTCTCCAAAGGACTCCTTCTTACCCCAATAAGACTCCTTATTTCTCTAACAGGACTCACTGCTACTCCTTAAGTTCCCCTTAATCCAAGAGACTCCCTCCCTCGCTCCTCACACAGACCATTGCGTTTCCCTGGGTGGCCCAGCTGCTTTCCCCCAGGGAGGAGAGACAGGACCCGAGTGCCTGCGCTCCGTATGCCCATCCCCGGCCTAGCTCGTGGGCCAGCTTCCTGATATGTGGCTGCTCATGGGACTGCAGGCCTGTCCTCTTTGGACCCCTGACTCCATCACTGAGCATCTGCTGGCCTCCCCCAAGCTGGGTCTGAGGGGAGGACGGAGCTGAGGGGGCCTGGGGCCTGGAGCTCTGCCATCCCTGCAGCTGACCACCCATTTCATCTGCTGCCCTGGGGCGGGAACCCCCTCCTGGGAGGCGGGGAAGCGTGCCTGAGCTGGGAGAAAAGAGGCGGGGGCAGAGGGAAGCAGGTTCGGGGGAGGATGGGGAAGCCAAAGGGAGGTCTTACGGGATTTGCCCCACAGGGATAAGTATGAGTGGCGTGGTGGCAGCCGGGGTCAGGCAGGCAGGGTGAACTGGGCGGAGGGTGTAGGAATGGGGTTGGGTGGGGCAGCTGTCAGACACACCAGGGCAGGGAGACTTGCATCACCCGCTGGGCCGAAGGAGTGAGGTTCCCGAGGCTGAGCTGGGGCTCTGTGTTACACAACTCCAGGGGTTCAGGGGGTGCTGCTCCCCCAGAAGACAACACAAGCTGAGGAAGAGGGAGGAGGAGAGCTAAGGAAGGGACCTTGAAGGAAAATGATGGGGCTGCAGGGGTAGGCACTCGCCAGCCTGGGGCTACGGGCCAGGATGCTGGAGGCAGACAGGCCGGGATTTGGAGCTCAGCTTCCCTCCTTCTCCCATCCTTGATTGTGATGGGACCCCAGCTGGACATCCGGGTGTACTTCTCAATTCCGCTCAGCCTCAGTGAGCTCACCTGTGAAATGGAGCTAACCGCAGAACTAACTCCATCGGGCTGATGTGAGGATCCAATGAGACCACCTCTAACGGGAATTTTGAAAAGGCTTAACAACTATTGGTGGTGGTCAGTGGGTAGGGGGTTAGCGATCGGAAGGAGACTGCCTTGGTTCGAATCCCAGCTCGCTGTGTTCGCTCTCTGTAATACTGAGTGTTTTTTCCTCGTGAAATGAGCATGGCAATATTGTCCCTTAGCTGAAACTGTGGGGGCCAGGCATGTTTTAAAATGTAGACTTTATTTAGAAGAGATATAGAAATGTGATATATATATATATATATATATATATATATATATATGATATATTCACCAGGGAACTCCCTAATCAAATATACCCAAATATACCAATATTTCTGTGGTACAAATTATGAGTAGTTACACCAACTGAGTTGAATGAAGATTGTTTATGGTCTCAGGTAAATTTTGAGCAGACCTTTCCCAACTAAGGAATCTGTGCTAACTGGTGGAAAACCAACCAAGCTGATTTGCATAGCCTGTTGGATTTCGGAATTGTGGAGAGCAGGCCGTGAGCCTACAACAGTATTCACCTGCCTCATAAGGTTGTGCTTGTGCAGACCAAATTATTAATATAAAGAAGGCGTTTAGGAAGTGCCCTGTGCTTAGTAAGTGCTGCGTCACCGTTATTAGGATTTCAGAGGGTCTGGAAGAGGGACATCCCTGTAGCAGCAGGGCCCAGCTGGAGGGGATGAAGCAAGGGACAGGGTGGTACCTAATCCTTTTTTTAAAAAAAATATATATCTATTTATTCAGAGAGGAAAGGAGAGGAAGAGAGAGATAGAAACATCAATGATGAGGGAGAATCATTGACTGGCTGCCTCCTGCACACCCCCTACTGGGGATGGAGCCTGCAACCCAGGCATGTGCCCTTGGCTGGGATCGAACCTGGGACCCTTTCCACTGAACCAAAGAGGCTAGGGCCCCTGATGCTTTAAAAAAAATCCTTACCCAAAGGGGAAGGGAGAGAGAGAGTGAACAGCCCTTATGTGCCCAATTGGGCCATGAATCAAACCCACAACCTTTCAGTATAGGGCTGATGCTCTAACCCAGTGTTTCCCAAACTTTGGACATATGTGTCCCCCTTCTATAATTTTCGTAAGGCTGAGTACCCCTCGTGCTCATGAGGACGTAGAATTAGGCGCAGCTAAGCACGGTGCAGTGCCAAACTCTTCCCGTACCCCTGGGGGTACGCGTACCGCACTTTGGGAAACACTGCCTAACCAACTGAGCCACCCTGGCCAAGGTGGTCCCTGGTCCTTTTATCTCAGTGTTTGGGTGGAGAAACACCCTCCCTCTCCCATTCTTGATTGTGATGGGACCCCAGAGCCAACCTGGGAGGCAGAAGCTGAATTCTGATCCCTGAAATGGGTGGGAGTGGGCAGGTGCCGGGGCTGACCTTGAGCCCCGGCACCTGCCCACTCCTCGCTTTGATCTCCCTACAGGAAAGACAACAGCAGACGACACCCTCCCAATCCTCCTGGAGCACCGCAGGGAGGAGATCAGAGCCAAGCAGGACTTCTACCGGTGAGAGGAGGACGGTGAGGGGAGGACGGTGAGGGGAGGATGGTGAGGGGAGGGGAGGACGGTGAGGGGAGGACGGTGAGGGGAGGGGAGGACGGTGAGGGGAGGGGAGGACGGTGAGGGGAGGACAGTGAGGGGAGGATGGTGAGGGGAGGGGAAGACGGTGAGGGGAGGGGAGGACGGTGAGGGGAGGACGGTGAGGGGAGGGGAGGACGGTGAGGGGAGGACAGTGAGGGGAGGACGGTGAGGGGAGGACGGTGAGGGGAGGACGGTGAGGGGAGGCCGGTGAGGGGAGGGGAGGACGGTGAGGGGAGGGGAGGACGGTGAGGGGACGACGGTGAGGGGAGGATGGCAGGGCCTGCGGTGGGCCCGGGGCCGGGGACATCGGCTCACTGTTCCAGCTTCTCTTCGCAGCTGGAGGGTCTTCGTGCCCGGCCTGCCCAACTACGTGCACATCCCCAGTTACCGCCCTCCGGTCCGGAGGAACCCCAACCGGCCTGAGTAAGGACCCTGGGCCGCCTGGGCGGGCCCCTGGGCTCTGCCCCTTCCTGGAGCCCTGGGCCCCAGGCGTGCCGTCCCAGACCCGCGATCCTTCCTGCAGGTGGAATGGCTCCATCCCTGGATTCCCCATTCTCATCAACTTCAAGGCCACCAGGTTCCTGAACTCAAACCTGCGCTACTCCTTCATCAAAACAGCCTCCTTCTTCTTTCGCCTGGGGCCCATGTGAGTGTGTGCGAGGGAGGGGGGAGGGCTCCTGTGCCACTGCCTCTCCCTCTGCTCCAGGCACCTCCACCCCAGCCCAGAGGTTAGGTGGCCAGGAAGGTAGATGGAGCTGATAAGCAAGGCCAGAGACAGAGGCCCAGAAAGGCCTTGAGCAATGGGCCTGGGGTCCCTGAGACCCAGGGAGAGAGCAGAGAATCTGAGGCCCGGGTGGGGTGCGGCAGAGGGCACCTGGCAGCCTCTCTGACAGCCCCCCCCCCCTCCCAACCCTCACCTCCTAAGGGCGCTGAGGTTCAAACTCCGAGGCTTCGTGGACTGCAAGCGGTCGTGGAAGAGACTGAAGGACATTAAGAAGGTTTTCCCTGCCTACAAGACGGTCATCTCCGGTAGGGGGTGGGGCCTCCTAACGGAACTCGGGGAGCCCTGAGGTCTCGGGCGGGAGGAACTGGTCCTGGAAGCAGGACCCCACGTCGGGGAGGTTGGGCGGGAGGAGCGGGCGAACCTGAGGCAGGAGCGGCGCGTTGGGCGAGCGCGCCCTCTGGCGGCATTTTGGGGAACGTCGCCCTGGGCCCCTCGGGGGAGGCCGGGGGTTCATGTTCCTCTGGGGTGTCCCTTCCTCTGTCGCGGGCCGTGGTCCCAGGCCCCTCGGTCCCTGGTGGGGACCGGGAAGCGTCCTGACGCCCCGCACACCCCCCTTCCCCCCAGAGTACGTGGCCGAGCACTGGGCGGAGGACAGCTTCTTTGGGTACCAGTACCTCAACGGCATCAACCCCAGCGTGATCCGCCGCTGCACGCGGATTCCCGACAAGTTCCCCGTCACAGACGACATGGTGGCCCCGTTCCTGGGCGAAGGGACGTGCCTGCAAGCGGAGCTGGAGGTGAGGCCCGGTCGGGGGAGACTCCTCACAGCCTCTGGCTCTGCTCCCTCCTGGGCATCCCCTCTCCCCCCACCTCTGCTTTCTGCAGAGTTCCCACCCACTCAGCCCTGCCCCGCGGTCACCATCGCCCCCTCAGCCCTGCCCCGCAGTCACCATCACCCCCTCTTGGGCCCTGGCCAACCCCTGCACCAGGGGGGCAAGAGCACTCAGTACCCAAGGTGTGGGCTTGGGCGCCCCGTGCTGGTGCTACCTGCCCGCCCTGGCGGCTGCCTTCCAGAAGGGGAACATTTACCTGGCAGACTACAGGATCCTGGAGGGCATCCCCACCGTGGAGCTCAACGGCCAGAAGCAGCACCAGTGCGCCCCCCTCTGCCTGCTGCACTTCAACCCGGAAGGGAACATGATGCCCATCGCCATCCAGGTGCCTGGGGGCAGGCCCGGCCGCCGCCGTGTGGGCACCCGCTGTGTAGATAGATGTGTGCACAAGTGTGTGTGTGTGTGCTTGCAGCCCCTGTGTGAATGTGTGTGAGCAGGCCAGGCTCTGTGCGTGTGCGTGTGTGTGTGTGTGTGTGTGAGCAGCTCTTTGTGTAAGCATGTGTGTCCATGTGAGTGTATGTTCGTTGGTGTGCCTCTGAGACCATACCTATGTTTATGTATATCCCCAGCTGGGTGTGCAGCCAGTGGAGAGCCTGGCGTGTGGCCCTTTGACGGAGTCTCTGTGTTAGTCTACGTATGCACGTCTGTGTGCTGCCCGTGCATGCACGCGGTCCCTGTGGGTGCACCTGTGTGCAACGCGTGCGTGTTGTGTGTGTCAGCACGGAGATACTGAGCTGGTCAGACCGAGCAGCTGCCTGCAGATTCTGGCCTGGCAGGCAATGGGACAGAGGTGCTTCCTTCCCAGCGGTCAGCACTAGACTCCTGTCCAAATAAGAAAAGGCCAAATCCCGATGGCTCGCTAGTGGGACGGGTTAGGTGAGACTGCAGTGACCCCCTCCCCGCGGGGGCTGGTACCCTGTACGGTGCAAACCTGCGCAGCTGGAGGCGGCGGCCGTGGGGGAGACCGGGAAGGCTTCTCAGAGGAGGTGGCTTGTGGGCTGGTTCACGAAGAATCAATCAGTAGGAGCAGCAGCAGCGGCAGGGACAGCGGGAGGCACTCCAGGCAGCGGGAACGGCAGGAGCAGGCGTTAGGAGGGAGGGAGGGCCGCGCTGTGCTCAGGGGGTTGGGCACAGGTGTGCAGGGTGGAGCTTTTACCTCCTCAGACTCCCCCTAGCCTCCCTCCTGAGGGTCCTGGTGTGCACAGGTCTCTGCCCTCCCCTAACCCCCTTCGTCCCCGCTCCCAGCTCAGCCAGACCCCTGGGCCCGACTGCCCCATCTTCCTGCCCAACGACTCGGAGTGGGACTGGCTGCTGGCCAAGACGTGGGTGCGCAACGCCGAGTTCTACTACCACGAGGCCAACGCCCACCTGCTGGGCTCCCACCTCATCGCTGAGGCCTTCTGCCTGGCCATGCTGCGGCAGCTGCCCATGTGCCACCCCCTCTACAAGGTGCGGCGGGCGGGCAGGGGCCTCGCTGAAGCATCCCCGCCCTCGTCCGGCCTCAGAGGGCCGCCTGGCCTGCTCAGCAGCCGGAGGGATTCCAGTCAGACCAGGGGAGGCAGCTGGGGACCCACAAGGGAGGGGGTCTGATGTTGCAGAAATGGGGGTGCCAAGGCCCTTGGGGGTAACATCAGTTCTCCTTGCTTTCTCTCGCAGCTCCTGATCCCCCACACCCGCTACACCATCCAGATCAACAGCATCGGACGGGCCATCCTCCTCAACGAGGGGGGCCTCTCTGCCAGGGTGAGGCTGCCCCCGGCGCCAGCAGGATCCTCCCTTTCCTCCCGGCCTTGGCAGGCCCACTGCCAGCGGGATTTCCCGCTCGCCTTCAGCTCCTGAGGGAGCGGGGACGGAGGGGCTGGTTAGAGTGGGCGCCGCGGCTACCGGGGCAGAGGCAGGGGCTGGAGTGCGGGCTGGCGTGTGAGGGTTCCGGGGTGGGGCGGGCCGGGCGGGGGCCACCGGAGCATCACAGCCTGCGTCGGCGGAGCTGGACGGAGCGTCCCCGGGCAGGGCCTGCCGGGAGCCCGCTGGCTCCAGCGTGCGCTCCCTCCTCGCAGGCCACGTCGCTGGGCCTGAAGGGCATCGCGGAGCTGATGGTGCGGTACCTGTCGGAGATCACCTACGAGGGCTGCTACCCGCCCAACGACTTCGCGGAGCGCGGGGTGCAGGACCTGCCGGGATACTACTACCGGGACGACTGCCTGGCCGTGTGGGACGCGCTGGAGAGGTCAGAGGGGGGCAGCGGTGGCTGGCACTTGGGGTGGACACCCCGAGAGGCTGGAGGGGAGCCTCAGAGTGCCCGAGCTTGGGTCTGGTGCCATCTTCTTCCCCTCCCCACCCCCCCAAGGAAGTTCTCTTTTTTATTTTATTTATTTATTTTTAAATTTCTTTATTGATTAAGGTATCACATATTTGTCCTCAACCCCCCCCATTCCAATCCCCCACCCCTACCCCCACTCATGCCCCCACCCCCCCATTGTCCTTGACCACTGGTTAGGCTCACATGTGCGCACACAAGTCCTTTGGTTGAGCTCTCCCTTTTATCCCCACCCTCCCTCTGAGGTCCAACAGTCTGACCCGTGGCTCCTTCTCTCTGGGTCTGTTCTTGGTCATCCGTCCATGTTGCTCACCATTTCCCCTTGGTGTCATCTTCCGACCTTGACAAGCAACCCTCGCCGTCTCTGCCCCGCAGGACTGGCTCGCCCACATGCCTGGGGCAGCTCTGGGGCAGCTCTGGGCCCAGGGCATGCTGGGAAAGGTGGGAACATGCAGCTGGGGAGGGCAGGAGGAGGGTCCAGACGGAGGCCTGTTTCCCGGCCAGGTATGTGACAGAGATCATCACCTACTATTACCCGTGTGACGCGGCCGTGGAGGCTGACCCGGAACTGCAGTGCTGGGTGCAGGAGATATTCAAGGAGTGCCTCCTGGGGCGTGAGAGCTCAGGTATGGGCCCAGGCACCCGGGCAGCGGCAGGGGTCCAGGGTTTTGGGGTGCCCCCCCCCCCCGGCTGGGCTGGAGCCTGTCTCCCTGGGGGCTGAAGGAGGCCAGATCAGCCCCCAGAATGTGGACAGGCCCTTCCCTCAGAGCTGCAGCCTCTCAGAGAGGCTGGGGAAGGAAGCGCAGCTGGCCCTGGCCCCTGTCTGAGGCCAGGGCTGCGGGTCATCTCTGTAGAGACCTGGAGGGCCCCAGTGTTCTGAGAAACGGGGCGTGAGCGCAGACACAGAGGGCAGAGTGTGCTGCAAGCTGGGGGGCTGGGGGGTGCTGGCTTTTTCCAGGGCGGGAGAGCATTTGAAGTCATGCCACTTGGGCATCCACTCAACAAGCATCTGTGATGTGACAGACACTGTGCTGGGCACTGAGCAGGCGAAGGAGCTGCCCTCAGGGAGTTCACAGTCTGGGGGGGGAGGGGAAGGGGGGAGGGTTAAGGAAGGGGCGGCCCTGCCCAAGCAACAGGCAGTTACAGCAGGGCTGCTGCAGTGTGTTGGTGGGGACAGGAGCCCAGCTTGGGGAGGGGTGGTGGGTAGAGGGGGTGGGCAGACCTGCGGGTGGAGGGTAGCTGTGTGGCAGGAGCGGTGGAGAGTTCTGGGAGCTGCTGGAAGCCGCCCAGCATGGCTAAGGGGTTTGGAGTGGCTCAGCGCCAGAGGGGGCGTGGAGGGGCTGCAGAGGAGAGTCATGTTAGGACAGTATCAGGCTGCGCGGGCAGCGGGAGGCAGTTTGGGCAGCTGCGTGTCCAGGAGGGAGGCGGCAGGGGCCTGAAAGGGTGGGGCTGTGGGGACCAGGATTCCGGAGAGAGTTGGGAAAGGGAAGTGACAGGACGGGTGAGTGGTTTGGGTTTGGCAGAGGGGGGCTGTGGGGGTGCCGCTCAGGGTTAGAGCTTTCAGAACCGGGAGGGTGCGGCGCTGATGGGGGCGTGGAGGGAGGAGGGCTGAGGAGGGAGGTGATGGGCTGTTGGACTGTGTTTGGCTTTGGAACCTGGGGTCGCCCGCCCGCCGGGCCAGCAGGGCGGCTGCCTAGGCGGGACCACAGGGAACAGCGAGAGGCTAGGCTGGGCACGGGGCCAGGAGCCAGGCTGCTGAGAAATGGATCTGGAGTGAGCTGTGTCCCACAGGAGTGTGTGTGTGTGTGTGTGTGTGTGTATTTGTGAGTGTGTGTTTGTATGTGAGTGTGTGTATGTATGTGAGTGTGTTTGTGTTTATGTGAGTGTGTATGTATGTGTTTGTGTGTATGTGAGTGTGAGTGTATGTGTGTATTAATATGTGAATATGTACATATGAGTGTGTTTGTGAGTGTGAGCGTGTATGTGTGTGTGTGTGTGTGTGTGTGTGTGTGTGGCGGGGGATGGATGAAGGACTGGAGTCGGCAGGAAAGCCAGGATTCTTCCAAAGCTGCTCCCCCTGAGACCTGGGGCAGAGAGTCCCCTAAGGCAGCTGCCCGGGCGGGCCTGGACCGCGCCAAGGCTTGTGGAGTGGACTGGAGGGGGGAGGGGAGAAGAGGGGGGAAGGGGAGATGGGGTGTGACCACAGACAGGGAGGGCCAGGCGGATGAGGGCTGGGATGCAGCAGCTTGAGGTGCGGGCAGGACAGGCTGGGCTGGGCTCGGTCGCGCCCTCTAGCGGCCAGCCCGGGCCAGGGCGGGATGGCCATGCCGGGCCTTACTCTCCCGCAGGCTTCCCCACGTGCCTGCGGACGGTGCCCGAGCTGATCCGCTACGTCTCCATCATCATCTTCATCTGCTCCGCCAAGCACGCCGCCGTCAACACGGGGCAGGTACCTGTGCTCACTGCCCACGCCAGCCCCGGCCTCACCTCATCCCAACCCCGAGCTCAAACCTGATCTCCCTCGGCCCGCCCTGCCTCCCCCACCCCTCCATTTAACCTGGAGAGGCCCTGGGAGCTCTGACACCCCCGCCCCCCCAGCTGGAGTTCACGTCCTGGATGCCCAACTTCCCGTCCTCCATGCGGAACCCGCCGATGCAGGCCAAGGGGCTGAGCACCCAGGAGACCTTCCTGGACACGCTGCCCGACGTGAAGACCACGTGCATCATCCTGCTGGTGCTCTGGACGCTCAGCCGCGAGCCCGACGACAAGGTGGGGGGGGTCCGAGGGCAGAGGGGGGCTCTGAGCAGCTGGGAGCTGGGGGGGGACCGGGGCTGGGAGCTGGGGGGGGGGGACCGGGGCTGGGAGCTGGGGGGGCCGGGGCTGGGAGCTGGGGGGGGGACCGGGGCTGGGAGCTGGGGGGGACCGGGGCTGGGAGCTGGGGGGGGACCGGGGCTGGGAGCTGGGGGGGGCGGGGCTGGGAGCTGGGGGGACCGGGGCTGGGAGCTGGGGGGGGCGGGGCTGGGAGCTGGGGGGGGGGCCGGGGCTGGGAGCTGGGGGGGGGCCGGGGCTGGGAGCTGGGGGCTGGGGGGGGGCTGGGGCTGGGAGCTGGGGGGGCCGGGGCTGGGAGGGGAGCTGGGGGCTGGGAGGGGGGGCCGGGGCTGGGAGCTGGGGGCTGGGAGCTGGGGGCTGGGAGCTGGGGGGGGGCCGGGGGCTGGGAGCTGGGGGGGGCCCGGAGCTGGGAGGGGAGCTGCGGGCTGGGAGCTGGGGGCTGCGGGGGGGGCGCGGGGCTGGGAGCTGGGGGGACTGGGAGCCCGGGGGGGGGCTGGGGCTGGGAGCTGGGGGCTGGGAGCTGGGGGATGGGGGATGGGGGATGGGGGGGACCGGTGCTGGGAGCTGGGGGGGCCGGGGCTGGGAGGGGGGGCCGGGGCTGGGAGCTGGGGGGGGGGCCGGGGCTGGGAGCTGGGGGGGGGCCGGGGCTGGGAGCTGGGGGGGGCCCGGGGCTGGGAGGGGGGGCCGGGGCTGGGAGCTGGGGGGGGGCCTGGGGCTGGGAGGGGGGGCCGGGGCTGGGAGCTGGGGGGGCCCACGGGAGGGGGCCGGGGGCGGAGGCCGGAGAGCCGCTGGGGGACGGCGGCCTCAGCGCCTGTGCCCGCGCCCGCAGCGGCCCCTCGGCCACTTCCCCGACATCCACTTCGTGGAGGACGCGCCGCGGCGCAGCATGGAGGCCTTCCGCCAGCGCCTGGCCCAGATCTCCCACCGCATCCGCCAGCGCAACAAGTGCCTGCCCATCCCCTACTACTACCTGGACCCGGTGCTCATCGAGAACAGCATCTCCATCTAGGCCCCCCCACGCCCCCCGTCCCCGCCCCGACTATTTAATAAAACACACAACGTGAAACAAAGCTCAGAAACACTCCAGCCGAGCCTGTGTCTGTGGGCGCACAGGCAGCTGCCTACCGCCCAGGAGGGAGGGGGAGGGGGGAGGGGGAGGAGGGAGGGGGAGAGGGGAGGGGGAGGAGGGAGGGGGAGGAGGGAGGGGGAGAGGGGAGGGGGAGGAGGGAGGAGGGGGGGAGTGGGAGGGGAGGGGGAGAGGGGAGGGGGAGGAGGGAGGGGGAGAGGGGAGGGGGAGGAGGGAGGAGGGGGGGAGTGGGAGGGGAGGGGGAGAGGGGAGGGGGAGGAGGGAGGGGGAGGGGAGAGGGGAAGCTCCTTGACGCCGCTGCCTCATCTTTCACCCCAGAGCGATTCGGGTCGGTCTTCAGTCCCCCCGCTTGGGCACGCAGGCCACCAAGGGCCCAGCCACCAGAAAACCCACCCGGCCTCACAGTCCGCCATCCGAGACCCGCCCACTAGGAACCTAGACCGTCCAGCCTGTCCGACTGAAACATAAACTCCAGACGCCAGGCCAAAGGAATGCCCCAGGCCCCGCACAGCAAACCCAATCCTCTGCGCTCCGCCTGCTAGGAGCCCAGGGTCCCCAAAACCAGACTCTCAGAGACCTGGCACGGCAGGCCCTCCCATGGGGGACCAGCCTGCTGAGTGTCCCTCCAAGGAGCTCACTGTCCCCAGACCCTCCTCCCCCACCCCACGCCGCGCTCCCCGTCCTTGGTCTCACCGGTGACACCCCAGAAGAGCAGGAGGGCTGGCAATGGCACTGACCTCAGGGCCGGAGGCCGCCAGGTCTGGCTGGGCTGCAGGAGCCCCAGATCTGCAGTGGCAGGAGCACTGGGCATCCAGGCACTGGATTCACACTGAACCCCCACAGCCAGGAAGCACAGGGCGGCCAGTGCTCCTGCTTGGCCCCGGGGCTGTGGATGGCAGCACGGTGGGCTGAGCAGGCGGAATGGTCATGGGGACACACTTGACAAGGTCAGCAAAGGACCCCTGGACGGGAGTGGGGTGGAGAGCATGGAGCTGAAACCCAGGGACTGCTGCCCGGGAAGTGGGGTGGAGAGGGTGGAAGACGGGAACGGACACCTCACCTGAGCCCATGCGGTTAGGAACCCTCCTGGGAGCCCGCCCTGCGGCAGGCCTGCAGCTGAGCCCCCCGTCGGGCCCACACAGGCCTGCAGTGTGGCCTGGGCAGCAGTGTGGTCTGGGCAGCAGTGTGGCCAGGGCAGCCTGGGGGTCGGGGAATACCGGTGACTGGCAATTGGGAGGTGATGCTGCCCAAGGGGTGTGAGGGACAAACGTTGCTGAGACCAGCTGCCCGAAAGGAAGAAGTGGAGGCCAGAGAAGGAGAACGGCCAGGCACACATTTTATAAACCACTGGGTTGAGCTTCATCTCCGCCAGGGGTGCCCACAGAGGCAGAGAGCCAGAGTGGGTGTGCAGATGCGTCTGAATAGGATGCCAGGTTGAATCAGTGGCCAGCACTTAGAAACTAGAAAATGCCTAATTGCTCTTGACAAATCTAAAGATCTGGCTGCAGCCATGGCGGAGGTGCCGCTGTCCCGGCCAGACAAGCATGAGCTCTCCACCAGCCACAGTCCCTGCCCACCTCGCGCCCCGAACTTTTTGCCGCTTGCTGACGCGGCAGGCACCGACAGTCCAGCCTTTTGAGCTTGACCAAACCACAGGGCAGAAGTACTCACTAGCTGCCACCCTCACTGCCCCCTGACCCTGCTGTGTTGGGCCTAACAGGGTGGGCCCATCTCCACTCTTGGTTCCCAAAGGGCAGAGCTGGTCTGCCTTGCTCACCCCGCCATCCGCCCCAGCACAGTAGGGCTCATGAAGGTGTGTGGACCCGTCACTAAGAAGGGTTTTGACACAGGCAGCTCCAGCTATGGGTGTCCTAGGTGGGTGGGATGGGGGGTCCCCAAAGTTTTCAAGGGGAGGTGGGGCATGAGCTGAGCTTGGAAAAGGAGAGAGGGAGAATCGGGTGCCTGGCCTCCCTAGACTCAGTGTGTGCTGAGGAGGAAGGGTGGAAAGGGGACAAAGTCCACGGTAAACGCTGCATTCCGTGTGGCAAAACACGGAGCCCTGTGAGCCCATGAGCCCGGTGGTCCCGGTGCTGAGAAGGTTGTTGTGCAGGTTATGGTGGGAGATGGGAGGCCAGGCACTGGGACTGCAGCGGGAGGGTAGCCATGGTGTCAGCCTGGGTCTGAGTCTCCACAAGCTGCTTCTACTGAGGACCCCACCCCCTGTCCACCCCCACCGCCTGCCCACCCCACTCTCAGGCCCCAAAGGCCTGCCGGGCTCTGGGCCGGGAGTGGGCGGGGCTGAGAGGCTGGGGTGGGTGTGGGGGTGTGGGGTGTGGGGGTGTGGTGGGGTGGGGGTGTCGGGGTGGGGTGGGGTGGGGGGGTATGGGATTTGAGGAGGGGACTGGGCTGTGCTGGGACTTGGGGGGCCTTTCAGTAGCGGTGCAGGGCCAGAGAGCGTTGGGATCCACTGAGGTGAGGAGGTTCACTCCTCCCCTTCCTTGTTTCTTTGCCTTCCTGGCCTTTGAACCCCCTCCCTACTTCTTACAACTTTTCTTGGCTTACATTCGTCATTTTATTTTAGTCGATAAGTAATTTTTGACGCTGGCTGGTTTGGCTCAGTGGATAGAGCGTCAACCTGTGGCCTGCAGGGTCCTCGGTTCAGTTCCAGTCAAGGGCACGTGCCTGGGCTGTGGTTTGGATCTCCTGTAAGGGGCGTGCAGGAAGCAGCCAATAAATGATTCTCTCTCATCATGCTGTTTCCATCTCTCCCTCTCCCTTCCTCTCTGCCAGGCACTGAGGTAGGTGCTGTGAACATTGCCCCAGGCACCCAGTCTTTGCCCTCTTGCAGGTTAAAGATTCAGAGTGAGAGAAATAAATCAATGAGGCAGGAGAGCAGTGAAGGAGAGGAAGGTCAGGGAGAAGGTACGGGTTTTTAGCTTTGGGGACACCAGTTTGAGGGTTCTGGCCTGGGAAGACTGTTTGAAATGCTTATTAGACATCCAAGTGGCTAACTGGCCATTTGTATAGCTAATGTGGAGCAGTCTGTGGATATTCTTTCCCCACTCCACCCACTCTTTTTTTTTTTTTTTTTTTTTTTTTCTTACAGGAGAAGCAGGGCCTTTATTAGGAGACGTGGCAGAGGCGATACCCCGGGCCTGGGACCAGGAACAGGCCGGCAAAGGTCCGGCAGAGCAGGAACCAGCCCTGGCTGCTCCGCCAGCAGCCCTGCCCCCTCCCAGGTTCCTTCCTCCGGCTCACCCCCCCCCCCCCCCCCCCCGCCCCAGCACAGTGTGGGGTGCGGCTACGGTGTCCGGACAGGCTCAAGCCTCGGACTGACCAGAAGGCACAGTCCTCTCGTGGGCACGTGCGAGTCCCAGCCTGGAGGGCAGCGCCCTCCCCGCACGGTGATGGCCAACAGCTGTGGTTGTGAGCGTGACCCTGTGGTCCGAGCACGTGGCTCCACGTGTCTGAGTGACACGGGCTCGATAGCGTTCAGGTGCGGGTAGTTGAGTCGGATGGAAACCCAGGAGAACGTTGTACACATCTTGACCAGGCTCTGACTTTGCCTCGGGGCATCTGCTTTCAAACAAAGACTTGGTTTGTGGGATGCGGCGCTGTCTCTCAGGAAGCAGCGTCCCACCGAGGCCCAGCTTTCCTTTCTTTGTTAAATGTATTTTGTTGATTTTTTACAGAGAGGAAGGGAGAGGGACAGAGAGTCAGAAACATCAACCAGCCGCCTCCTGCACACCCCCTACCAAGGTACATGCCTTTGACCGGAATCGAACCTGGGACCTTTCAGTCCGCAGGCCGACGGACGCTCCATCCACTGTGCCAAACCCATTTCGGCAGGAGACCCACCTTTCATTGTCTGTCTTTTCTAAGCCTTTCAGCCGCCCCCACTCAGGGCCACCCTTGACCTTGCCAGCCCAGCACAACAGAGGACCCTCCGGGGCCACAGTTCGGATGGAGGGCAGGATCCCGGCTCCTGCCCCCCACAGTGGGCGATCTGGGGAGCCCGGTGCATCCTCCCCACCACGATGAAGCGGGGACGCCCTTGCTTTGCCCCCCAGAACCGAACACACTCTTGTTGCTCGTGTCTGGGGAGAGGAAGGCGGGCTCGAGCCTCTAATGGACTGAGGAAGAGGCCAGAAGCGAAACCCCAGGAGTTCTGAGGCTCCAACGTCACATGCGCAGTGTCTCCGCTCGGCCAGGGGGACTGACAGGCCAGAGGGGACCTGCCCCAAAGGCATTGTGGGTGTCAGAGGGAGGTTTCCCAGACGCCAGGCTCATCTCTGTGTCCCCAGGGCAGCCCCCGGTGGCCAGGGAGCAGCTACCAGGGGCCAGTAGCCACCCTTGGGGCCACAGGGCCGCTTCGGGCCAGCAGCTCTGGGAGGCAGGCAGGGCTCTCGTCCGCGTGGGACAAAGGGACTGTGTCTTCCTCACTGACCGGCCTGTCCAACTTGGCCTTGAACGCTGGACGCTGATGGTGCGGGAAGGCCAGAGAGGAGAGGGCCTCAGGCTCCCGCACAGACCTGTACCCTTCATGCTCGCCAGCCCCCTCCTCAGGCTCAGTTGGTTTGAACTCCATCCCCGGCCCATCTAGGCAGTGACAAGGGTGTTTGCCGGGCCACCTGGCAGGACCATCAGAAACCGCCACCGCTGCGAGGCAGGCACCGGGCGCTGGCAGGCGGTCTCTCTCGGGATGCCCCACCCATTCCTGCTGGATGTCTCCTTCACGCTTCTCAGGGTGACGCAGCAGCACCTGGGAATAATCGCCCGGGTTCCTCCTAGCCATCACCCGTGGCCCGGTCACCTGGAGGGGATCGGGGCAAACCCTCTGTGTGGCGGCACACACCTGGCACACACCCAGGGACATCCGAGTCTCAGGCGAAGGCCGTCTGCTCTTGTTTGATCGCCACACC